AAAATCGGTTTGATATCAAGAGTAAACATATCGCCATATCGTTTTGATTTTAACAACAATTTGTTCGTTTCAATCTTTGAGATAATACTTCCTGCTTCGTTAAGCACAACTTGATTGCCAGTGCCCACAACATGTTGTGAAATACTTATCAAATTATGTTTAAGACCTTCGACATAAGCAACACAAGTTACAGTGAAGTGTCTATTTGTTACTTTGTAGTATCCTTTGACCTGACATTTGTGATTGTTTCCGAACTTCACAATTCCAACATTTTCCAATTTTTGAAAATCTCTTAAAATTTCCTTTCGACCAGTCATGTGATGTGAGCAACCACTATTGATATACCATTTCTCATCATATTGCTCGTCACAGAGTACCTGCGATCAATGAAAGAATTTAGGTACCCAAGGCTGTTTGGGGTCCTTGGAAATTAGTTTTAAAAATAGAATTAAATGCAGAACATTTAACCCAATCACAAACTTTAGTTTTGAGACTATCAATTAAGTCTACATCACTAGGTAAAGGAACCGAAACATAAGTTTTTGTTAGTTTGGGATTGTCACTGACATATGCGTTCGTCTTCTTAGGTTGTGTTTCAACATTCTTTTCTTTCAAAACCGGTTTCCAAGACTTGAGTGAAACATTCGAATCTTTTGAAGATGAGCTTTCAGTTGACAAAGTATTCACATACTTCTCATATTCTTGGATTTTTGTTGAGAGTAGTTCATTGATTGATACATTCGTCCTTTTCCTTCAAGCGAGTGATCAATGTTTTTCTCTCGAGACAACCCTTTTGTGTAAGAAATTTTTAAGGTTTGTTTCACCGAAGGATTTAGAAAATTCGGTTTTTGTGGAATGAAATCAACATTGGTATTTGGACTAACTGTTTGAGCATATTTTTCATGAACCTTGTTTTCATTATTTGTATTAGGAGAAAATCCAATTTGAAAATGTGTTGATTGATGTGGAAATGATTCTGGTTTTAAGTTCTGAGTTTGAGAAAATCTTTTGTTGTGGATGATACGAAAAACGATTTCCAACATTTTGATTTTGAAATTTCTTTGAAGAATTATTAGCACTTGAAGAAAGTGATGTTTTCTAAACTTTTGAAAACTTGTTTTGTGGATTGAATTCAGACGTTGATTTATTTCTTTGAGCGGGATTTTTCTTTTTGTCTGAATAAGATGATGAATACGAAGACTTGTTCTTAACAAATTCAGTCTTTGTATTTTTAGATGTTTTCGTTGTCAAAACATTTTGTTTCTTTCGAGACTCAACAGTTTGCTAGCAAATCTTCTTTCGTGCTTGTCTTTTTGAAATTTTATTTTCTTTTGAAAAGTTGTCAATTTGTTCTTTATATTCTTTTGAATTTAATTTGACAACTGGTTCAGTCTCCACAATAACCTTTTTTGTAACTTCTTTCACAACTTTTTGTTTCTCAACTCACTTTCGTTGAGGTTTTAGTTTTTGAAAAACATACGAATTCTTTGTTAATGTGTTTTCGATAGTGTTTTGATTGGCAAAGAATCCTTCGTCTGTTGTTTTCTTGTTGTCTTCTTCAACTAATTTCTTGAACTCTGATTATACATTCTAAACATTCCTTGTAGTAACAAAGATTTGATTCGGGAATATGACATCATCAGTGCATTTGAAATTTTGATACACCACAATGTTTGTTTCCAGAAAATGAGCACCTTTTTCTGACAACACTTTGTCGAATTTTTATGTATCCCCATACACTTGATCAACAACTATTCATCGAATTGCAGTTTCTTTCAAATCTTTGTTTGATGAGACCTCTTTGTACGACTCATCTTCATCATTTTCATCATCACTGCTATTCGTTTGACTATCTCGGATATCCACAAAATCAGGAACACAAACTTTCGAAGTTGAAGGTTTGTCAGCATCAATCTTAACACTCGAATCTTGCATATTCCTTTTCCTTTAGATTTTGATGCAACATTAATGACATACAAATGAGAACAATCGACATCATCAATATCACTAATTTCACTAATATTGTCAGAGTTATCTTCAATATCAACAAAATTAGATTGAGAAACATATGTTGAATTCTCAGTCTTTTTCAAAATTTTGATTTGTTCAGATTTAGTCAAAGTATCATTCACAATGTTAACTAATTCAGTTATATCAAGACATTCATCAATTTTGACAATTCCATATGCATTACTATCATTAGGAACTTTGTCAAACTCAGTAATATTTTTCTCACAATCATATGAAATATTATCAACCTTCTCTCTTTCAAATGTTAGAAAAGGCAATAATTTTCTATGTTGCTCCTTGCTAATTTCACATGAATGATGCAATACAGTCAATTCACCGTAAAGTCGTTTAGCAGCATTATAGTAAATATTTCATTGAGCTAACAAAAGTTTTACATCACTAGTAAGAAAATCTCTATCACATATGATATTTGTAACCAACAATTCTAAACTCTCTATTTTGTTTATTTTCGAATCTGACATCTTCTGAATCTCTAACAACTGTGTGCTTAATTTCTTAGCTTCGTTACTAGCAGACACCACAAGTGAATCAAAGTAAGTAACAGTATCATCAAAAACAACAATTTCTGAATTATATGCACTCAAAGGAATATTGAAAGATTCAAGAATAGAACGTACCTTAGTTGTCATTGGAGACATATCAACAGATTTAGACACGAAGCATCGACCCATCACCTCTTTGTCCGAATCTTCCTCCAACTTCGCATACATGGAACCATGCGTAAGATTACACATTTCTTCATCATCTGAGCCTGAAGACCAGATTTGATAAGTTCCGTCATCCTCATGTTCACCTCTATCCACTAAAGACATTCTTCGCCTTAGCTCTCACTTCCTCTAGCCTCTTAGTATAGTACGCAACATCCTTCACTTTGTTCTTTCTTTCATCCTTCTTACGAAGCATGCAATCATTTGCTCCGTTGCAATAATGACAATCCACACCCGAATCTCCTTTCAACTTCCTCTTATTCTTATCCTCAACTACCTTCCCATCCTTCTTCTCAAGCTTCTTTTTCTCCTATCCAGCAGCCTTATTTAGGAAACTTCCTTTTCCCTCACTTTGCTTCACTTTTGGATTGAACGGTTTCTTAAAAAACTTTTTGACTCTGTTGTTCGAATAAAAAGCTATTGCCTCATCATCCGAATTCATCTTCTTCATCATCAAAATCACCTTTTTCGACTACTTCCTTTTCATACATTTTAGAGACAAGTGCTAATGGACCTCCTAGAATGAGCTTCGACTCTTCTACCATTTCATTCACCTCACTTTCATTGTTTTCAGTTGATTGTACAAATCATTTAGAGAAGATGTGTCGAAACTCTGTTAATTTCTCACCATCATGCTAACACTCCTCCACTCCTTACGAAGTCCCATCACAAATGTGAGATTGAACTCCATAGTAGACCTTGTGATTCCATATCAATTGCACCGATAAATCAGCTCATTCAGGAGATCATAGTAAACTTTAATTGTTTCACTCTCCTTTTGTTTGAATTTTTTTAGTTCCACAAGACATTGCTTAACTAAATTAATTTTAGTCTTCTCGTTTTCCCTGATATTTCTCCTTTAAAGTATTTCATATTTCCTTTGCACTCTTACAACCACACATGTAATTGTAAACCATAGGAGGCAGTACACCTCTCAATTCTCTCATTAATGCTTTTCGTTTTTCTTCAACCTTGTGGATTGTTCATCAACAGTAGAAGTAGAATTTGAAGATCCGATGTTTTGAACATTCATTGGAGGTTGAGCAGTTCCTGAGATGCAATTCTAGAGTTCTTCATCCAAACCAATTAGATAATCCTCCATGCGATCAACCCATTGGTCATAATACTCCGAAATCAACATAGGAATCTTAGTGGAAGATCCTCACAAATGAGGGAAATAAGTCATCATGTTCATGTTGAAGTTTGTCATTATCGTAAGGATAAGAATTTTCCAGAAAACTTGAAGAAATTTGAATATGATTGAATGAATTGATCAGAAACTCAAAATCAAACACTTGATTATGCAAATCAAATGCAGAATCAAACCAAAACTGATGATCAAAGATGATTTTCTGAATCTAACAGTGTGGAAACTTTTGAATCAAATTTTACGACTCAAAAACGAAAGATACAACTGAAAATCAGATCGCAGTAATGATTCATGCTCTAATACCAATTGATGAAGTGATAATCAAGTATGAAACAAACCAGAGTAACAAAAATGTAATATGAACACGAGAAGTAATATAATCTGGTTTCGATTCAATTATGCTTTCAACAGTTTTAAAGAGAGAAGAATAGACAAGTTTTGTAAAGACCCTTCTCTAACTCTAAGTAATGTCTCTATTTATAGAAGATGTGAAAGCATACAAAAAATACTAAGGCATAAACATTAGGCTTCGTACAAAAGACAGCTTAGTAAATACATACGAAATTACAATACAAACATTTCGACTCTTTACAATATTTCGAACCTAACACTTTTACCGGGTTCTTCCTGTTAAACCTGTTACATAGTGCATACGTTGTTATTAGGCCATTTCGTGGATGATTAGATGGCATTATTTAGGTGTTGCATGTATATTTATCTCCATAAATTAGGGCAAGACAAATCCTCCATCTCTATCTCTTCACTCTCACTCAATCGTCCAGACTGTTCTTTCTTTGAGCAACCCCAATCAGATGGTTGAAGATGATACATTGGTCGTTGAAGTCCAATACAACGGGAACTTCTTTCGGAGACCATTTACGTATTTTGATCTAGATAAAAAGGAGATAAGGTATGACGATTTATGGGACAAAGGGTATTCTGAATTCATTGCTCACCTAGAGCTGATTACTGGAAGGATGTGCAAAGATGTACTATTGTCCAGACGGCCAAACATTATGTCAAGGATTGGCCACATTGCAAAATGATTGTTATTATCATAAATTTCTTGAGTATCTTCATGACAAAAAGAAAGTAGTTGTTATGTGGACCATATGCATGAACCCTTGTTTGACTGGATTAAAATAGAAGAGCCTGAAGTTGAAGATGATACCAACTCCAGCGAAGATGAAGTTAATGTAATAGATAAATTGAGTTGGGAACACGAGGTGGATGATGAGGAGTTTTCTATGAAAAGGGCAAGAGCAAGTATTCAGAAGAAATACATGTTTTTGAACAAACTTTGCCCAAATGATGAAGAGGAAGAAGATCCTAATGTTAAGCAACTACCTCCTATGTACCCTATGCACAATTATGAGCAACAATGGGATCAAATGGCTCCTGAGTTAGGTATGAAATTCACCAATCCTAGTGAACTCAAACATTGTCTTACCAACTATGCTGTTGAGCATGGTTATGATTTGTGGTATGAAAATAATGATAAAAACAGACTTCTAGTGAAGTGTTGTGGGCTTCTTGGATGCAAGAGGAAAGGACTTTTCAGATTAAGTCACTTAAATCAACTCATAATTGTGGTAGAGTTTTTAAAATAGGCTTAGTGACTTACAAGTGGATAGGGAAACAATATTTCAATGTACTTCTAGAAAACTCCAAACTTAGTTTGAGGAAGATGAAAGCTCACATCTCAAATACATACAACATCGTAGTTAGCATTGGACAATGTAGAAATGCAAAAAGGTTTGCACTGTCTGAGATTGAAGGCACTCTGAAAGAGCATTATAGTAGGTTGTAGGACTATGGCATAGAAATCAAAAGAGCTAATCCAAGATCAACTGTAAGCATGGAAGTGGACCAAATGCCTGATGGAACTACAATGTTCAAACGGTTCTATATATGCTTCAGAGGTGTAAGAGATGATTGGGTAGAGGTGTGTAAAAGAGTCATTGGGATTGATGGATGCTTTCTCAAAGGAATTTGCAAGGGTGAACTCTTAGCTGTAGTGGGTAGGGATTCCAATAACCACATGTTCCCTATTACATTATGTTTAATTTGGTAGTTCATTATAGTTATTGTTGACAATATTAGCCTTTAATATAATTAACTACTTCATTATAATTATTGTTGACAATATTACCCTTTAATGTTGAATCATACACTTTTTAATGGTGTTTGTATTACAATGATAGATTTCATTACCAAAAGCTTCATTAACATTCATACACACCATTTCATTACATTATGAGTACCCTTACAATAAAAAAACAAAATTATGGATACCCTTATATTGAAAAGATGTCTACTGCATCACAATTCCATTCAAAACAACTTAACAAAGAACAAGACAAACAAGACAATCGATGCTACTTTATGGTGATGCATCTTCTTCATTTCATTCAACTCATGCCTAAGATCGAAAATCTTCTCTGTAACCGGATCTTCAGCCTCTACAAAAAATGGGGAAAAAAACAAAGCTTTAGGATAAATGTCATAGCTTACACGCGATTTTGTGGTGTAGTGGAGACTCGAATCCGAGTAGGAATCCCACAGTAGCACATGATTCGGTTGTTTGAGGTGGATGCAAATGAGGCTTGCGACGACGTCTTCTTCTTCAACTCTTCAAATTAGGGCACAAGAAATATGAGATCTTATGCGAATTTGGTGGTTATAATCATACCACCGAACACATAAGATGCCAATTAAGCTAAACATGAAGAAATCGGTAAATATATATATATATATATATATATATATATATATATATATATATATATATATATATTTCTAAACGGTTATTATAATACATTTAAAAATAAATAAATAAATAAATAAATTTAAAAAAAAAAAAAAAAAAAAAAAAAACGATAGCACTAATATGGACGTACGAGAAATGTTACTGCTTACTACCCTCTCAAAGTCATTATCCCTAAAATCACAAACCACACTAAACTACCCCTCGTGCCATGATTTCAAAGGATCGCCACCTTCGTCGGGGTTTTAGGGTTTAACATTCGCCCTAAATTCCACCGGTTACTAGACTGTATCCAATGGTGTGGGATGCATGATGGTGATTTTGAAAAGAAGTAGACTGTCCTTAGCATCAAGCCACCTTCGGAGGCTGATTACCACAAATCCGCGTCGTATTGTAGACGAAGGCGATTGGTTTTATGCATCGGAATGGTGGGGCAACGGCGATTCCGACGAAAACACTGTCTTCCGCTCTGTTTCCGACAAGGGAAACGGTGTCGTTTCTGTCGTAGCTTCTCATTCTTCGAGACCAGTATACTCTCACTCTCTTTTCATGTTATAAGCGCCAAATTACATCTGATCATAGCCGTTAAATGAATCAGTTTGTGAATATTACCCCTGCTTAGAGTTATGTTTACTTTGATCCCCAAAAAACGAGCTACTTTTGATTTCGGATTTCAATGCTTACTTTTAAACTCCAAATTTCACATCAAGTATTGCTAATAAAGTGATTTCAGTATTGTTTGCTACAAAACCAACATCTATTGTTAATTTATTAACGAAATACACTGCGTTTTCAATGCAATTCACCCATTAAAATGTCTGCTCATGTGTTACAGTGGTGTCTAATTCTTTTGCTCAAATCTTTCATTTGCTCTAAATTGATACAGTATGAAAGAAACTGGCACAAAACTGAAACTTGGCTTTCACAAAGGTATGCAGAGTTGCATCCAAGAGGTGAACAGAAAGCATCTTTCAAAATTCTTGGGTATCAATGGCGTACCCTTCGGTTTAATGATGATACTCGACAAAGCACAGTTAAAGTAATGGCTGCTTATAATCAACAAGATCCTGGATCTATCTTCTTAAGGCAGGAGCCACATTGTTTAGCTGTTCCATGTAAGTTCATCAAAATCAAAACTACCTTTTAATTCATGTGAATCTTTTTCTTTCCAGTGGAATGAAAAAAAAAAACTTGTTTGATAATACATTCTAAGTTTCTATGGTCATATTTGTAAATTTTCCTTTAATCTTTATGTATCTGTTGCAGATCTAAAGAGTATGGTATCTGCTGGATTGGCTTCCGTCTCATGTAATTATGATTTGGAAAGTGTTGTAAATGGAAAGAATAGTATGAAGATTTTATGCATTGGTCATGGTGGTGGAAGCTTACCATTGTTCTTGGCTTACAAAATTCCAGGTTAGATTATTAGATATGTAAATATCACTTGATACATTTTGCTTTCAGACTTACTAATCAATTCCATTCCGGTGTTTGGTTGCAAATGAGTATGGAATTGAACTCCATTAGCATTCAGAAATTCAACTTTCCACTCATTAAGTTATGGAATTGAATTCCTATCTTCCTAAATGCCTAAATCTTGAAATTTTGTATTACTACCTTGTATGAAATAGTTTTATATCTTGTAAAAACTTGTATTTACAAAAAAAGTTTATAGACAAATTTTATAGAGGTAAGTTACACTTTTTGTCCCTTGCTTTATTGAAAGTTACAAATATCGTCCTCACAAAGAATCCTTTAATATTTTTCGTCCCTAAAAAGTTTCTTTAATCCTTTTCGTCCTTTAAGTGGCTGCCATTTCTTTTTTAGCGTTTAGCCCATTTGAAATGTCCATTTTGCCCTTCGTGTACGCCTTGTAAGTTCGTTTTACTTGTTTTATAATTATATGTATGTCTAAAACAAACAATTTACAAAAAAAATTAATAAAGAGCAATTCTTTGACAAATTTATAAACCAAACAAAAATACACAAAGGAAACCCCAATTCCATTCCGACATATCAATTCCATATACAATTTTTTTTTTCAGGAGCCACAATCCACATAGTAGAAATCGACCCCGTAGTCATATCCGCATCAACCCAAGCAATGGGCTTTCCATCCTACTCCACCATGAACCAATCCGGGGCCCGCACACACTCAAAACCATCTCTTACAGATGAAATACTTTGGAAAGGAATTCACGAGCGGCTACTCCTATTCCATTCCGATGCCGAACACTTCATCACAAACACCGCCAACATTTACGACATGATCTTCATAGATGCCTACGACGGCGACGACATATTCCCGCATAAATTGTGGGACCCGGATTCCGTATTTCTCAAAACCCTAGGGGAACGGCTTCACCCTAAGCATGGGACTTGCGTGGTGAATCTTCATTCCGATGTTGATATGGTGGAGGTATCGGAATCGGAATCGGTGATTCCGATGGGTAAGTATGTGTCTCAAGTGTGTAAGGCGTATAAGAAGATGGTGGTAGATGTTGATGGTGTTGGTGTGGCGTTTACGGTTCATGTTCCGTGGGTTTGTAATGCGTCTCTTGTGGTTACTAAGAGTTTTAAGGATTGTACGCGTGATGTGGTTTTGAATAGTCTTGTGTCGAAATCTTTGGTTGTTGAGAATGTTCTTGATTTGCAGTTTTCTTGTTTACAATATGTGAAGAGAGGTTTAATGTTTGTTGAATAATTCATTTTTATGATTATGTAACATGTTATTCTGATTATGTAACAAGTTATTCTTTCAGCAACCCTGAGATCACATGTGTTGGTTATATTGTTTGTGTTTAATGAGATTTGAATTCTTAGGGGTTAGATAATAGGATATTCTTTGAAAATTTGATAAAGTTTAGCTAAGTTTCCCTTGTACCTATTGAGAAGTTTTTAAGTGTTGATATATGAATTGAAAATATTGTGTGAGTAATTATGAAATTATTTAACATATTTTTCTTTGTGTTAATTTATGCATTGAAAGTATGTGCACACTTAATATTTTTATATAAACCAACCCCTTTTGGGAATTGGGATCCACGCCATATTTTTTACACAAATGATGAAATGACTAAACCCTCGGACTACCCATATTTTTTACACAAATGACTAAACCGATGCTTTTAGAAGGAAAAAAAAAAAGAAAAAAAGAAAAAAAAACGGACAGTATAGGATGTTGTTGTGATAACGGGAAGCAATGGATAGGCTTATAACATGCAAAAGAGGTGAAGGGGGGCGGTGTATGTATCATCATAAAGTGCAAAGACGCACACATATGGGTTGTCACACCTGAAAGCTTTATAAAAACCTAATAATTAAAGTTGATTATAAATAACTATTTTTTTAACACTTTTGTAATCACTTAAAAGCCTATAAATTTGTCAAAATAAATTGTTTTATCTTAAGTATGTTTTTATATCAGGTGTAAGATCCACGTATTACATTGGTTAATTTAAAAAAATTATGTATAAAAGTCTAAATATTTAATAACTTTGAATTTATAAGAAAATAAGAAAAATAATTAATTAATAAAATTGATTTTTTATCTTTTAAATTTAAATAAATAAACAAATAAACTAATAAGTTTTAATTTAAGAATCTTAAAATAAGAAGGTAAGTCCATTAATGAAATTGATATGTATTTATTACTATATTTATTGTAAGTATTAATTTAAAGTATTATGGAGAATTTATTAAAATAAAAAACCCCATAAAATTACATGTGGAAAAAAAATTAATTCAAAATAGCCACAAAATAACATTTGACAAATCGAATGAGAATATAACATGTGACAAAAAAAAACTTTCATTTATTAGAATACATTCATTGATACAAGA